TAAAACAAGTTTGGAGGACCAAACTTATTTAAGGGGGGGAGAGTGTAATAACCCGACCCTCGTGCATGTTCTTTATTAAATTTTCAGATGCCACTTGCCACCACTTGTCATTTCTCACTTTTTTTTATATTTTTAAAATTTTTTAAACATTTTGTCAATTACCAAACGTGTTTGTAGTTTATATTTTTCTAAAAATAAACAAAAAATAAACAAAAACCAGTTTATAAAATTTTTGTAAATATAAACTGAAAACGTAAACGTTACCAAACACACCCTAACCATCACAACCAAAGTCTCCCAACTTTCAGGCAAGGAACTAAGTAGTATCAAAGCCTGCAACTTATTATCAAAAATAATTTTCATAGAAGCAAGTTGGTTAACAATACACTTTATTTCATTCAAATGTTCTGGAATAAGGATACCCTCTTTATATTTTAAATTAACCAACTTACAAAACAGAAAAACTTTATTTGTAACTGATTTCTTGTCATAAAGGCCATCTAATTTTTTTCATAAATTATGTGCTAAAGTTTCAATAGCAACATGGTGAAACACACTGTCATTAATCTATTGATGGATAACACCAACGGATTTTCGATTAAGTCTCTTCCATTCATCATCTTGCATACCCTCGGGTTTGCCACTGCCACCCTCAATAGGCCCACACAAATCCTTACAAAATAATAGGTCATCCATTTTAGTTTTCCAAGTTATCCAATTGTTTTCATTAAAGCTAGACATGTGACCCATATTCCCTTTTATTGATTTACACAAATAAATAAACCAAAATTAATCGTGAGCTCTGATACCAGTTATTAAGGAAAATATATGATTTTCTACAAGTAAATTAATCAATGAGAATAAAAACTAATGCGGAAAAATTAAACCAATAACGATACAAGAATTTTACGTGGTTCCCTCAATGTGAGGTACGTCCTTGGGATCGAAATCCGATTCCATTATCAACCAAAAAGTTTCCAAACGATTACGAATGAGACACAAATGGTCTCACAAACCGCCTTTAGGTGAATTCAAAATAATCATAAATAAATAAAAGAAAAGATCTCACCAAATAGATAAATAAAAATCTTTAAAATAGAGTTGTAGAAGATCTAAAATAATACGCCCAAATCAGAACGAAAAACTGCACCAGACGAACATCAAATTTGAGGCAGTAAGAGCATCTCCAACGCTGAACTTCTTTTGTCATCAAATCTGAGGAAAAAAAGGATGATTTTCTGAATTTGATATCACTGGCTCCAACGGTGCATCAAAAGGTGCATCAAACGGGGGAGGGTCGACCGGCCGGTCAACCGGTAAGGCCATTTGGGTTCCATTCTTAACTGGAATCCACCTACAAAACCTTAAAAAGAGCCTTGAAAGGTTAAAAGAAATACCAGACAGAGCAGAAAAGATCATCAAATTTAAGCCTGAAGGAGACCCAATATGGAGTTTAAACCATAAACTACAATTATTTGAAATCTAGTTGATTCTTCACCAAGTCCAGCTCCCAAATTTCAACAAAATCAACATTTAGGTGGCATCATCAGCTAGGAAGATTGAACTAGAGGGTCAAAATAGTTTGCCACCCAGTTGATTCTTCATGAAACCTAGCTCACAAGACCAACCAAAAACAGAACTTCAGAAAACCCATTAGTAAAGATTGAACAAAAATGAAAAGTTGAGAAACCCCAGTTGATTTCTCAGCAAACTAAGCTTCAATTACTCACCAAATGATGTGTTTAACTCTTCAAATGCTATGATCCTTCTTTCTCACTATGAAAAACACAGAAAACCCATCAACACCACGCCTCTTTTGGAGGACACAAGGGAAAGCAAATCATGCCAAACAACAAACTGGTTCGTACCCAGGTGTCTCCTCTCTCTCTTCTCTCTCTTTCTCTGTAGGTGTTGAGTGAGGATATGCTGTTGAAGTTGGGCACATCAAAAAAATCTGTATCTGTCTGGGTCTCTATCTCTCAATTTAAAGGGTCGACCGGTTGGTCAACCGGCTGGTTGACCGGTAAGATTATTATTATTATTTTTTAAGCTGTTTGAATCTTTTGGCTTGTTTGAACCTATGTTTTTGAAAGGGAACCGGTCGACCGGTTGGTCAACCGGCTGGGCAACCGGCTGGTTGACCGGTTCCTCTCCTCCAACAGTCACGTATAGTAATTTGCTGAAATCTGTATACTGTTCTCACTTTGATGATTTGTTTGATGAATTCTGAATTTGATACCAGTTTGGTGAAACCGTTGGAGCATGAAAAAGTATTTTTTTCACCAAATTTTAAATTTGATGCCAAGTTTGGTTCAGGGTTAGAGACGGTCTAACAGCGTAACTAAATCAACCACCAAGCATTGACTAGTTGACCAATCATAGTTCCCAATTGACAAATGCCCCCAGCACAGTCTACCAAAAATCAATTAGTTGCTTGCTAAACAAAGGCAATATATATATTGTTGAATTTTGAACTTCTTATCAAACCTTACTTGTTACTCAATTGACTATAAAATACTCATTAGACATCCAAATATTAAGAAAAAAAAATATTGAAAATATTATAACCACTAAGCCAAATTAAATTCTTTTAATAAATCGATTGGATTTCATACTCTAATAATAAGAAGGTATTCTAACATTATTATGTCAAAAATTAAAAAATCTTGCAAATAGAAGTGCAATAGTGGGAGAAAAACAAACAAGAATAAAATAATTCAACAAATGGCTAAATGTTTAACCACACGGTACTCAATCATAACTCTTGTTTTGGAGTACGAATATTCTGAGACTATAACCAACAATAAATAAATAAATAAAATGAGGCTTACAATTAACATAGGAAAAATTAATGAAACATCGTCTCCAATTTTGAATAGTACGAGAGATCAAATATTTTTTTTAATTAATTAAGATCTCTCAATAATATTATTAGATAAATTTCAGCTCTCTATGATGTGAAATTTCTCCGTGAATAGTTGAAATTTATTTTTTTGTAAAAAACAAAATTCTCTGTAAAGATCTAGAAATTTTTGTGTCTGTGAAAATATTAAGGGATTCCAACTACTATAAAAATATTGTATGTGCTTATCTTATAAAATTTTAATGTTAGAGACCTTAAACTAAAAATTTCAATAAGATATGGATAACTATAATCTAAAATTTGTATGCCTTTATCTTATAAAATTCTAGTATTAGAGACCTTAAACTAAAAATCTCAATAAGATATGGATGACTATGATCTAAAATTTGTTAGATTTTATAATTAAACTTGAACAGACCATTATTTCGCTTGACTAAATAACTTTTATTATTGCTATTATTCATATATAATAATATGATTTTCTAATTAATTAACCTTCTTAATATTAGTACTTAATCCTTTATTTACCTCTACTAAACCAATTTTTTTTTCTCTTTTATACATTAACGTAACACATTTTTTATTTTTAAAACAAAAAAATGAAATGTCGGCAATACCCGACCCATATTATAGCTTAGGGCTGCTTTTCCGGGTTAGGAAGAAAATCCGGAACTCAGTTCTGGTAATGGGACTCTGGCTCTGGCATCATGTATGAATTGTTGTTTTTTAAGCGATTAGATTTAGATTTATTTTTATTTTTATTTTTATTTTTTAAATGCAATTAGATTTGGATCTTGATTACTGAAATGTGTTTTTCTTCTTTTATTTTCTAAATGCAATTAGATTTGGATCTTAATTCGGACGCCAAAGTATCTGGATTAGGACTCCATCAATGCAGTTGCAATCACCTGTTGGACCTATCATTGTTTTAAAACTTGATAACCATTGTCAGGCACACTTCCCAAAGAACAAGAAACCTTCAAAGTCTTCAAGACGATGATGAATTCAATTCAGGTCAGTCTCCAAGATGTAGTTAAAAAGATCATACTTAAAGTATAATTCTCTACTGTCATGTTTGATTGGGAGTTTGTGTGGTGTGATTATCAATATGTAGAATCAATCTAATTTATGCCTGTATGCAAACATGTCATGAGTTTAACAATCTCATGGGAGTATGAATTTTCTCTCAGAATTAGGATTTTTATGGGAGAGTTTTTTTTTTATCAGCGAAAAAAAGTTTTATTGATGGAAAAAAACATAATGAGAATGAAAACATATATCAATAAAGAAGAGGGTACAAAAAGTATCACAGTGAAACATTCAGATTCCAACTAGGTTGGCACCTAGATGCACACCACATCATCTGCTAGCACACACTCGAAGCTCCAAGTTAGTGAGAAACCAACAAGCAGAGCAAAACAAAACAAAACAAAACAAACCAAAAAAAAGAAAACTACAACCACAGCAACCCAGAAAACCCCTCTGCTGGAGCATCGAACAGAGCATTAGACAGAGCACCATCACTACTTCTGCTGGACCATTCATCCAAAAAAACCCCTCTGCTGGAGCATTAGGCAGATCACCATCACTGCTTCAAATCCTCTGGCCTAGTACAGCTTTGGTAATGCAAATATGTGCTATCCACTACTTCAACTCCTCTGGCTGAGTTCAGGTTTGGTAATGCAAATATGTGCTAGCAGCATCTCAACACCATCATCAGTAGCAAATCACCAATGCTAAGCAACTAGGACCAGTATAGCAGAAAACAAAGCACCAATGCTAACTCAGGACTACCAGCCTAAGCACCAATGCTTCAACAACAACTCATGCCTTTGGGTTCTTCTAATCTCTTCATGATCTATACATCCAAAACAACATCTCTACTCATCTGTACCACACCAGAATCAACCAATAACCAATACTCACATTCACCAAGCAGCAGTCACTCCAGGACTATCAGCAGAGTCCAAAAGCATATTGGCATATCAGCAAAGTAGGACAGCAGCAGGAGGATACCCCAACAGCAGCAGACCAATAGCAGAACAACAACACAGCAGATCAGTATCATTAGACCTCAGGGCCATCCTAGTGCAGTATTTCACTTGATGCATGTTAGACACAAGGACAATAACAGAGAAACCCCAGCCATTGAAAAAGCCTTGATCCACATTGCTACCCTCCAACAAACCAACAACATGAAGCAGCAGTAGCATGAGGTGAGTGAGTAATGGGCCACCATTACTAAGAGCAGTAGCATGAAGCAGGGCAGATCTGGAGATGGAAAACCAGGACAATAGAGCAGAAACCCAACATACACCAGCAGAGATACACCCTACAGACAATCCCCCACCAATTCAGACAATCACCCACACACCCTCAGAGTAAAGCACAGCAGAATCAACCATACCAGCAGCCAGGACTCAACCATAACCCAAAGGCAAGACACAGCTTCCAGAACGAATACAATATTGAACCTGAGGTAAGTTAAAGACAATATCATTAATGGAGAATGCCATTTTGGTTGGAGATGATTTGACCCACATCGCTATTCTTGCTTTAACAAGCTCACATAGATCCCTTAAATTTGGTTGAGAGCCATTAAAAACGCAATCATTTCTATGCTTCCAAGTAGACCAAAAACTTGCTAAAGGCACTACCTTCCAGATTAGCTTTTCAATCTTTTTCATCGTACAAAATGACCACCACTGCAATAATCCTTCCACTGAGTTTGGCATAACCCATTGACATCCCCACCATTCCATAACATGAGACCACAACAGCCAAACAAAAGGACAAAAGAGCAAGATATGGGGAATGGTTTCCACCTCCTGTTGGCAAAAAACACAACTCACATTTGTAGATTCATCCAAGATCCCAATACGCTACAAGTTTTCTTCTCGCTTCATCT